TCTAAAAACACTATGAAAACTTGTTTGTTGCAAGAAAAAACAAATACAATTGAGTTTCCTGTTTACGTTTTGTGTGAAAGCAAAAAAAAAAAAACTGCAAATAAAAACCAGCTAAACACTTTTACAGCTCTATTTTTATACAGTTTTAGCTTTTTTTTGGAAAATCACTTTTTCACACGCACAAACAATATTTATGTTGGTGTGAATGTTAATAAAGTTTTCAAAACATAAATAGACAATAACAATAATAGAAAAAAAGTATCTAAACAAAGAATAAAAACTAGAACCTTTTTTCTGCTAAAACTAGGACACAATATTTATTTATGAGGGAGAGCTTACAAAAACAAAATAAATTTGAAAACGAAGAGAAAAAATAATGACATTTGAAATCAATATTTCCAAAGGATTATCTTAAAAAATACATGTACATGCTCTCTATAGAATTTGAATCAAACAGTGTTGGCTGGAGGCAGTTAGAAATTATTCTCGTATAGTAAAGAAATATAGGCTCTTTTGAACTTAAACAGGTTATAATTGAGAGTAGTCAAATCGCCCGACTTTGAAGCCCAATTGACTGGAAAGTTTCTCGAAATCAAGTTAGCACCAAATATTAAGTTCACCCGGATCAATGACATTTTCAAACAAAAATGATTGATCATAGTATGGTAACGATCTCCATTGATCATAACCAGATCTCCAACACCTTTTTTTTTGGAAAAATAAGGTACGATGATGACACAGGCATATAAAACGCACCAAACAATGAGTTTTGTCTGGATATAATGGAGTCTCTAGGGTCCGTCTCATTCCATTTTATGATCGATATTGATCACGGAAGTTAAACAGATAGAAACGAAAGCCTAATGTCGAATAGAAGGTTAGGTAAGGTTATGTGGATGGCTCGAAACTTAGCGGGTTCACTTAGAAATCTTGTGGCCTATTGTGCTACCCTTAAAATTACCATTCCCTTATGCTAAGAGTTCATACATAAAGAAAGAATGGTTTCCCTCCCCTATTTCGTTAACTATGTGGTTTCTGCGGCCGCTACTTCTAATAAACCTAATTATATTAACTAGTAACACATCTCTGAGACAGACGAGTTCAAGGAAAATAACTCTACCAAGATATAGTAGTGTATGCTCTTGTAATGCTGGACACGAATGTCGAAGTGCTTTACGTGAACACCTGCCCTGAGGGCCTTATTTCACGGTGGTCATTTTCATCCACTGGGTAGCCTTGAGAACGATCTACCATCGCCCCCGAATCCTTTAATGAAGACATCAGGTGGCAATTTTTGTACATGGCTGAGCCGGTCCATGTCGAGATATCTAGTCTCTTGCCATAGTAGCTCCGTTGGAGAAGGACAGGTGTCATGAGTAAGCTCAATCTAACCACGACAAAGGAATAGGCAATCACTGGTTATAGTCGATAGAAGGGGCGGACCCAACATTAGCTGAAAACTCCCTATTGATTTTATGAGGAATCATTCTCATCATCTAAAGATTCACCCCAGTGCGACCTCTTAAAGTCGTCTAACCACACTACTGAGATGGCTTCTGTTGGTGTGGCAACATCATCTAGCGACGTATTTGCCCGAAATACACAAGATAATAAATCAGGATCCCTCTTCATGAACCGATCTGTGACAAGAGATGTAGGAATTTCCAATTCCACTGAATGCTAACCTGACTATTACCCAGCATATACCGGCTCCCTAGTACACGACCGGTAAGAAATACCGATCGGGTTCAGGAATCCAGCTTATGCTGCTTTGTACACAGACCTGTGTCATTTGAGAAGAGAATTAGCCAACGCATTATATATAGGATATATCAGCCCATAAAATAACATTCTCTTCGCGCAATTTTGGGTTTTAACCACAGCCACTATGTGGATCCCTCAATCAACTGACCAGCCAGGACAAGTCCTGCTGGAAACTGGCCACACGTAATACCAGATTATGTGGTTATCTGGTTAAACCCCATGTCAGATCATACCAAAGACTAGCCGATGAGTGAAGTGACATCACCAGTTTATAGTCCCGTCAGACTAGAGGTACTGGTAGCACTTCTTTATCCCTGGATTGCAATACATCAAGATGAGGGTCTTACATCAAGGAAACATGCCCCGGAGGGTTGTAAGGCGGGACAGTCACATAGAACCGATTTCTCCTCTTACTCATCCGAACAACTTCTATAAAAGTTATAACGTGGGTAACCCATATGTTCTCACAGTGCCACGTACCTACTTATACCCGTGAGAAGTCTAATCGAATTCATGCTGAAAGTCAAAAGAGTGATAGTCCTATTCTTTATCTGAGAAGTGGTGATATTTGACCGCCTGAGTTTCGTCTCACTTAAAGCCCATTCATCCATCAATTTCGATAAAGTCACCAGGGGACGAATATCCCTTTGCGCAAGAGTTGTAGATAAGTTAGAGTTAACTAGACCCTAGTTGCGCAGTAATCCTCAGATATATCATATTCTCGGATGTCGTCATGTAATGGGATCCATATCAACTTGACCTGATGTTGTATATGATGTTCCAGTGATTGAATACAATTGAAAAGATATTTCATTTTGGTGATAAGAGCCCCGATTGATTAAAGGCTGTCCAAGTAGATATGTATAGTAGAATTTTCGATATTCAGTACCCGCATTCTTCTCGCTGCTGTATTGATGGCATATATGTAACGCAAGGACTTTAGCAGTAAGTTTCAATACAAAAGCTTTCGATATAAAGCTATGTAATCCGTATTAACTAATAGCAGCAAGTACTTCAGAGGAGTTATTATTAGTAGAGAGCTTTTTCGATCTAGGCAGAAAGTTGAAGATATTTTAAGTTTTAAAAGATTTAAAACTGAGCAGAAAAGCTTTATTTAGTTTTCACCGCTGAAGAGACAGCAAAACTTCAGCATGAATTGGTCCTTGAAAAGAACTTTCTCGGCTCACGAGAACCTTGTCTTTGAGATATCGTCTTGGTTTCGAAATTCACAATAATTTCAGAAAAAAAAGCTCTATGGCCAGCAGTTTTTATCGCTAAAGAGACTGCTAAACTTCAGCATGGGTCTTAAAGAACTTGACTTTTAGAATATTGGCACACGAGAACCTTGTCTTTGAGATATCGTATTGGTTTCGAAATTCCTATGATTTCAGTAAATTTTCTACTAGTTGTCCTTAAAGCTTTAACTGTGCAATCAAATATGCAAAATAGTAAAGAATATATTAAATTTTCTTCACCTGAAAATTTAATAAAAAAAAGAATAATTTCTAAAAAAATTTTATGTCTTAACTAAATAAACCAACAATAAAGAACAAAATGTTAAAAGTGTCAAGAGAAGAAAAAGCAACAGCGCTAGAAAAGTAAAATAAACAAATGACATTTGCAACAGAGTTTGACAGAAAATAATAACCACAAAAATACTTTTATATTTAGGGGATGGAAACGAGAGAAGATCACATGAACAAATGTTTGATGGTAACATTTTTGTAGCATAATAATGAAAATAGTATAATAGGGTTGGATTAAATAATATTTCGTAGTATGTATGAAATTTTCGTAAATATTATGAAAAAAGTACTTACGAGTTTTATTTCGTAAAGTTAAGCATGGATTCTTATCAATGTAGTGCTCTTACTGGTTGTTATTGTTTCTTTAGGCATGTGAGAGAAAGCTCTTTACGCTCTTTTGCGTAGCACTGTTCCATAGTGAAATATATATGGAAAAGAAACCTATATTTTGGGTAAAGATCTGTGTCTTCTATTTGATCCAACATATAATATATTAATTAAAACTTTCCTTTATATTGTACCTAAGATTTACAAAAGTTGCTGGGTTATTTCCAAATACACATACTTATGCAGAAAACCTCTCACAAACACATTCTAACCTAAATGAATATTTCAGAAATTTGCATTTCTAAGAAATTTTATGTTTGAGATTTTGCTTACAAAACGAACAAGAAGAGAAAAAAAGCTCTAAAATGACAACAAGCAACAGAACTGAAAATGGAAATGAAAATGTAAACAGTTATGAAGGCAACTATTGCAACAACAAACAGCAACACTACAATTGCAAGTGGCAATAATACACATGTAACTGAGCAAACTGAGTAGCAACTGAATCACTAGCAGCAGTAGTAGTAGTAGTAGTAAGTAGTTGACATGTTAGTTTCAAATGTAAAATTCCTAGTAGTCAAGGTGTGATTTTTTAAAAGGAATTTTCTAGTTGCTGCTATTTCATTTTTTCTCTACTCCTTTCTTCTTTATATGGCTTTGCAAATGTCAGCAAAAATGTCAACAGATATTCATGAAAAGAGAAAAGTAAGTGACAGTAGAGTAGTAAAGTTTGCTGGCTGTAGCAAAAGAAAAATATTGTAGTAAGAAACTGCTATTTGTTGTTGGGTACAAAGAAAAGGGAAAATTTAAAGATATTTTAATACTCTAAGTTAAGGGATAGAAAGGACAATTGAATGTTATTTTTAGAGAAAGAAACCTTTAAGTGTTATAGGTCTAATTAAGGAGGTTAATTAAATGGCTGGAAATTATACATTGATCGTGTAGAGCTTTAAGTCACCACCTAAAATTATGCTTCTCTTTAAACAAGTTTATGTATTTTTTTAAACTTTTTATATAAACATATGTTTAGCATAAAATTTAACATAATTTTATAACTTTTTTATAGCCTACTTTAAGGTTTCTATTTATATTTTACACAAGCAAAAAATAAACTCATCTATTACATACACATTTTGGGGTCATCACGCATAAAAATCTAAAACGGAAATGACTTAAGTATGACATTTTTTTCTTTGTCTCCTACACTTTATACATATTTTTATGAAAAGTAAAATTATGAGAAAAATATAAAAAAATAAAAAAAATATCTCAACAGTTTGAGATGACAAGCTCTTAACACAACTTCCTGTTTGCTTATGAATGTCCAAGGAAAAAAGATAATTTAAAATAAAGGAATTGTTGTTTTTTTTTTCTGCAACTTACCTAGCACCCACTAGTAAAGAATCACCATCACGCGTTACCAGTTTGAAGTGATCCACGGCACTTTCATTTCCGAGAAATTTTAAAACATCTTCAGGACCTACAAAGAAAGAGAAATGAAGATAAAAATACAATTAAAATAAAGTACGTTTCTGTTTTTTTCTTTCTTTTTTTTGTAAAAGAAATCCTTGGCAGGACAATTGAAGCATGCATACAAAACACACTAACACAAACAAAAAAACATCATTACAAATACAAAAGCACGACTAATTAGACAATTTTCAAGTTTTTTTTTTTTTTTGTTAAAGACTTTTTGTAGTTTTTTTTGTTAATGTAGCTGTTTAAAAAACGGGAACAATTTAAAAGCTCTCAGGGCAGTGGGTTCTAAAAGGAGAAAAATAGAGTATGAGAGAAAATAATAGAGCACAATTAACCAGTATATTTTTTTCATAGCAGCTGTTAAATAAATATTATGTTGCTGTCAGTTGAACAGAGGGAAAGTGAAAAGAGTGAACAAAAATTATATTAGTTCGGAAAGAACTAAAACAAAATGGAACTGAACTTGAACAGAACTAGAACAGAACTAGAACAGAACTAGAACAGAACTAGAACAGAACTAGAACAGAACTAGAACAGAACTAGAACAGAACTAGAACAGAACTAGAACAGAACTAGAACAGAACTAGAACAGAACTAGAACAGAACTAGAACAGAACTAGAACAGGACTAGAACAGAACTAGAACAGAACTAGAACAGAACTAGAACAGAACTAGAACAGAACTAGAACAGAACTAGAACAGAACTAGAACAGAACTAGAACAGAACTAGAACAGAACTAGAACAGAACTAGAACAGAACTAGAACAGAACTAGAACAGAACTAGAACAGAACTAGAACAGAACTAGAACAGAACTAGAACAGAACTAGAACAGAACTAGAACAGAACTAGAACACTAGAACTAGAACAGAACTGAACTAGAACAGAACTAGAACAGAACTAGAACAGAACTAGAACAGAACTAGAACAGAACTAGAACTGAACTAGAACTGAACTAGAAACAGAACTAGAACAGAACTAGAACAGAACAGAACTAGAACTGAACTAGAACTGAACTAGAACTGAACTAGAACTGAACTAGAACTGAACTAGAACTGAACTGAACTAGAACTGAACTAGAACTGAACTAGAACTGAACTAGAACTGAACTAGAACTGAACTAGAACTGAACTAGAACTGAACTAGAACAGAACTAGAACAGAACTAGAACAGAACTAGAACTGAACTAGAACTGAACTAGAACAGAACTAGAACAAAACTAGAACAGAACTAGAACTGAACTAGAACTGAACTAGAACAGAACTAGAACAGAACTAGAACAGAACTAGAACAGAACTAGAACTGAACTACAACTGAACTACAACTGAACTAGAACTGAACTAGAACTGAACTAGAACTGAACTACAACTGAACTAGAACTGAACTAGAACTGAACTAGAACTGAACTACAACTGAACTAAGGCTAAACTAGAATTGAACTGGAAAATAACTTTGCGAGAATTAATTTTGTCACTCTATTTAAAGGTTTTATTATACACATTAAAATTCAACTCTTTTTTATGCTGTATTGCCAGCTACAGGTAGCAACCAGAAACCAACTTACACCCCTACTCAACCAATCAACATTTTAGTTTTTTTCTTTGCTGCCACAGTTGAAAAAATAAAAAATAAATGGTAGGAAACAGCAGAAAAAATTAAATGCGAAAAGGACCTAGAATAGAAAGAAACATTTAACGCCTGACAAAACACACCGACACACACACAATTTATCGTCATTAGTTATAATCATGATTATTATTATGAAAATTCGCTCACAAACGTTCGTCCTGCCTGTCTGGCTGTTAGCCTGTCATTTAGTCTAAATGTCTGTCCTATGGCCTGTCCTTCCTTCAGCTCCTGTATATGACTGTGTGTTTATAATGTTGACAACTTTTATGATGTTGCAAATTATACCATGATGTTGATGATGCTGATGCTGGTTTCGCGCACAACATAGAAATAAATAATAAAAAAAAACAATGCTATAAAAAGGGTTTATAAAGGTCCTTTTTTGCTCTATTCCTCTCTCTCTATCTTTTAGCTTACACAAACAATAAAATATAATAACAGGCATTTATTTAATAAAAAAAAGGATGCTTTTGTAGAGAGACAAAAAAACACATTTAAATTGTATATTGTACGTCGTTTATAATTTTTTCTCCTGCATGAACAATAGCATCCTTTTTTTTCTGTGTATGTATGTGTGTAGTTGCATAAAAATTATGATAATTTTTTTCTGATGTTGTTGAAGGATTAAAACTACAAAAAAAAAAAAGAGTTAGAGTACGGGGCAAAAATTATTATTATCTTTTAAAAAACACATTTGTTTTATGTGAAAAATTGTCATAGAAATAGTAGTGGTAGTTTTTGTAACGATTATTTTTTCCTTTCATTACATTTCGTTTGACTTTGTGAGTGTTTTTTTTTGTATACTGAAGCAAACCCAATAAATTTTGTCAAAAAAACATAATAAGTCAAAGTTGAAAATAAAATACCGGGTACTTTATTCACCATCAGCTGACAGCAGATTACGGAAAATGAACTGTAGAATTTGAAATCTAGTATTTATCCCTAAACATTATATAGAAAGTCTAGCTTAGTTGGTGAACAAAATTCCAATACTAAGAATGTTTTGCTAACTACCTTATTCTCTGCAAAGTTTCGTTGGGTTATAAAAATTTACTTTTATTTTTTTTTTTTTTTTTGCTCAACTACTGGCAGTAATCGCTCCATTTAAAAGTTTTAAAATTCTACAAAAACTACACCACATATTCCCAACACACATTAACAAGTTATAGAGTCTATATAAAAGAATTTTTATTACACTAATTCAAACTTATAGCTGGGAACAGACAAACATGATCATATACATATGTATCTTCTCATGGTATAAGAGCAGGCTTCGTCATTCCTAGTCAACAGAGAATGACAATGAAGAAAAAGCAAATGCCAAGAAGTCAAACTTGTAGAATTATTACTTTATCGCCCCATGTTCAGAAACTTAGATTCCTGGACGCAGTTCCTTAGAAATTTCCAATCAGAATGGCATCGGAAATAAGCATTAGGATCTAATTTCGGCGAATGCCTGACGAAGAAATTGTTGTACTGTTTCACTATACTCAACATTAATGGAAATGTGTTAGTTAGTTAGTTAGTTAGTTAGTTAGTTAGTTAGTTAGTTAGTTAGTTACTTAGTTAGTTAGTTAGTTAGTTAGTTAGTTAGTTAGTTAGTTAGTTAGTTAGTTAGTTAGTTAGTAGTTAGTTAGTTAGTTAGTTAGTTAGTTAGTTAGTTAGTTAGTTAGTTAGTTAGTTAGTTAGTTAGTTAGTTAGTTAGTTAGTTAGTTAGTTAGTTAGTTAGTTAGTTAGTTAGTTAGTTAGTTAGTTAGTTAGTTAGTTAGTTAGTTAGTTAGTTAGTTAGTTAGTTAGTTAGTTAGTTAGTTAGTTAGTTAGTTAGTTAGTTAGTTAGTTAGTTAGTTAGTTAGTTAGTTAGTTAGTTAGTTAGTTAGTTAGTTAGTTAGTTAGTTAGTTAGTTAGTTAGTTAGTTAGTTAGTTAGTTAGTTAGTTAGTTAGTTAGTTAGTTAGTTAGTTAGTTAGTTAGTTAGTTAGTTAGTTAGTTAGTTAGTTAGTTAGTTAGTTAGTTAGTTAGTTAGTTAGTTAGTTAGTTAGTTAGTTAGTTAGTTAGTTAGTTAGTTAGTTAGTTAGTTAGTTAGTTAGTTAGTTAGTTAGTTAGTTAGTTAGTTAGTTAGTTAGTTAGTTAGTTAGTTAGTTAGTTAGTTAGTTAGTTAGTTAGTTAGTTAGTTGGAAGGAGGATGTATGTTACGTTAGATCCGAGGAAATACATGTAGGTTTTCGTCGGATCTGTTGTGATCTCCCTTCTCAGAGTCTCTGGTGACAGTTGAACCACAACCTCTTTCGTTGTTGCTAATTTCCGAGTAGTCTGGTCTCTGTTTTAGTAGTTGAATTATTTTTATCATTTTTGAATAAAGTGTTAAGCCTCAGATATCTTTGCTTTCTTTTTTAGCAAGCTTTAAAGCTTTTTAAGTTATTGCTCTCCCTCTCCGGATATAGCCGACCTTTAGTATTATAAGTTGTACTCCTTGTATAACGTTTTAAAGCACGAAAGTTTTAAGTTTTTTCTGTTACTGCTCTCTCTTTAATACTTTTCATAGTGATAAATCAGTCAGAAAGTAAATTTTGCTCACAAATCTATTATAACTTTACGTATTAAAATAGAACTTTTTATAAAGATATATCTCTCTGGGACCTTCTAGTTGACTTTTCTAGAAAGCTTTGAAGCTTTTTATGTTATTGCTCTTCCATACTAGCTATTGCTATTGTCTAACTTGCACACTTTTTATAAAGCGTTACCACTTTGACATCTTTGCATACTTTTCCCGAAAGTTTTAGAGCTTTTCTATTACTGCTGTTTCTTTCTAAATATCATTGCTTTTACTTAGTGTTAAGTGTTAAATTTCTGGAATCTTACATGTTATTGTCTAATAGATTTGTACTATTGAAAGTATTAAAGCTTTTTTTTTTCTTTGAAGTTTTTTTTCTTAAAGGTTTTAAAATTGAATTCTAAATTATAGAAAATTTAAAATTATTTTTAAAATTTTACATGATATATGGATAATATGTTTGCCTGTGAAGCTTTTTAAACATTTTTATATTTAATATAAAATTTCTTTTGCTGTTCTTTTAAAAACTCATATTTATTATTATCCATTTCCTTTTTGTTTGATTTCTTTTGACACGCCTCACACGCACACATATGCCTCAATAAAATCTCACAGGCCGCCAACGACAAAGAAAATTCTCAAAGAAAAGAGTTTAATAAATTGGCTATAAAACAAGTGAAAAAAGAACTGTGTGTTTAAATAAAAACAAATTCAAACAAATTAATGGTCAAAGAGAAAAAGTATAAAGAATTTACAAAGTTTAATGGGAAACTTTTGGTTCAAATGTAAAAGTAAAATTCTCAAAAAAAAGGAAACGTTTATAAGTCAGAGA